TTTGCGGTGTTACCGTATGTGAAAGGAACTACTGAAAAGATCACTAGAATTCTTTCACGCCATAACATCAGATGTTGCATGAGACCAGAAAGAACTCTGCGGAATGTCATATCTAGACCAAAAGACCAGGTCCCCCAGGAGAAGCAAGTTGGAGTAATTTATTCAATTCCTTGCGATGAATGTAGTATCAAGTACATCGGGGAAACAAGCAGAGCTCTTGGAACTAGGTGCAAAGAACATCAGGCGGCTGTGCGTCTGAACAAGGCAGAAAGATCAGCCTTAGCCCAGCATGCACATGAAACGGGGCACTCAATCCAATGGGATAACATTTCAATCGTTAAAAAAGAACAAAGATGGAACCAAAGAAAGTGGCTGGAAGTATGTGAGATATCAAAGCAAAAGATCATTATTTTTAATAGAGACAACGGCAGAATTCTGCCAGCAAATTACATAAATCTTTTGTGATTTTCAATGCTCGTGCTTTCAGGTTTGTGTGCGCGATTCTTTTGCTCGCGCATATGTACAACGTTTGATCGCGCAGGTTTTGTTAATATTGTAACTTATCATATGACCTGTACGGCCCTGCTCGCGCGCACTAATAAAACCATTGGAAAAAGTCACGTGATGGGGGCCGGACGGGTTGACGTAAGCGGGCCGGAAAAACCCGTCCGGCCCTGCTCGAATCCGCGCGCTTTCTTTTTCTTAATTATTTTTATTTTCTTGAGGGTCATATGATAAAATGCTTATTGACTGAGTTAGGTCGGGCCGTACGGGAAAATATTTGACTCTCGGTCATTTGTACGGACCTCGCTGCGCACGGTCCGTACGACATGACCTTGAGCCAAATATTTTCCCGTACGGCCCTCCCACTCAGTCAATAAGTACATAGTATTTTAGTTCCTCTGAGGATGACCGTGTCGGTCGAAAGCTAAGGAAAATATAAAATTCTTTTTAAAGGTTGATGAGTCAATTTGAGTTTCATAACTCTACACTTCTTCGAATTTATTATTTTCCTATTAATGCTTATTACTCGGGCTACCCACAGGGTAAGCCCGAGTCTAGGTTTAACTTTTTGCCAATCTGTCGTGCAACGTTTTGGAAATCACAGTTACCCAGCAATCACGTGGTTTACAAGAGTAGTTCAATAGCTGTCACGTGGTTTCAAATTACCCAGAAGCCTTTTCTTATAATTACCTCGATGMCAAGTGACAGGAAGAAGCATTTTTGTGGCTACTTAACACATGACGTCATCAATCACGTGACTACACTAAATCTGTAATAACTCTACAAATATTTGACCACTGTCAGTCAAACTTGGACAGACAGACATTGCCGGACATTGCTTACACATAGGTGCCAATCACGTGGCTACATAAAAATTGTAATAACTCTACAAATGTTTGGTTTGTGCGGGGGAAAATGTTTGTTTGTAGGCCAAATAAATCACTATTTACTCACTTGGATCTTTCTATCTATATTTTATTGATTGTTAGATGAATAAACATGAATTCAATAGTCTTTTTACCTCCTTTTCCTTCGATAAAACTTGCCATCTTTGTT